CGTCTCATCCTGACATCGTGTGTCTTCCCGGGATCTTTACGGGTTGTGTGTGAACGCACTCACAGATCCTGGCAAATCACTGGCAGTGTGAATGAACCGAAATCAAACAATCCCAGGACAAATGCTGGGTCACATTATCCGTGTGTTTTCTGGTATCTCTGTGTGAAAGGGGCTATATATAGTGTGAGAGATTTTTTTTGCTACAAGTGAGAATGCTTGTGTGAAATTGAACACAGTATTGTCAATGTTGTTTTCAATAAAAAAAAAAAAAACATTTTCAGAAATCAAGACAATCCAATTTTCCATGTTGATAAGAGCATTTAAATGAAAAAAATGGGACAAAAAGAAATCAAGAGACATTTAGAATAGATAAAAATGTCAAATAATAAAAATCACAAGTTAACTATGTCATTAATGCGATTAATCTTGATTGAATATTTTAATCGTTTGAAAGCACTTTCATTAATAAATCTTGACCTAATCGCTCCATCTGCTGAACCCAATTTAAAGGCCATTTCAAAGTTGTTTTTCAAAACTGTCCTTTACCCCCATCATTCTGGACTCAAACAGATGGAAACCATTACATCAAGAATCTGTTACACATTAGATATCCAGATCTTTCCATATGGCTCTGTAGACAACCAAAAAAAAAAAAAAAAAAATCTGCGTTGTCTATTTTCAAAGATATTTTAGCATTCTAAGTTATTTATATGATAAAAAAATGATGATTTGTAAGAGTCTGGTTATCTAGAGCCCCTTTCACACAGAGATTCCGGAAAATACACGGATAATGTGACCCGGGATTGTTTGATTTTTGTTAATTCACACTGCCAGTGATTTGCCAGGATCTGTGAATGCGTTCACACACAACCCGTAAAGATCCCGGAAAGACACATGAAGTCAGGACGAGACGTGTAATGCACGCGTCGAAAACATGTACCGTTCCACAGCTGGTGAACGATCTCAGCTTCAGCACGGATAGTGAGGAGCTCCTGGTCTCTGCTTTGTTCCAGTTTGCAGACATTTGTTCGTAGTTTCTTTGTTGATGACGAACATAAACTTTCTTCTAAGAGCAACAGAGTCAAACGATGGCATGAGTGTCATCACTATGACACACCCCTTACGGCATTGGTCCTGGCTTTTGTTTACACAGGCAATGTTATAGGTCCCCAAACCGGCATCGATGCCGGTATCAATCCCGTGTCATGTTTGCGTTCACACAGAAGGCGTTCTGGCAATTTCCCGGGATCAACGCGGTGTGTGAAAGGGGCTTAGGATAGTGCATAGTAAATTAAATAGAAATGTATAGTGAAATAGATAATGATTTTTGAAAAAAAAAACGAATGCAAGGGGCTCAGGGAATAAAGGCGTAATATATATTACAATAGCCACTGGTGAAAAAAAAAAACTTTCTTTCCTAAAATCCAAAGCTACATGCAGTAGGAGTTAAAATTTGCATACATGTTTACATTTTACATAAACATAAATTATAATCAACCCAGTTACTCTCATATTCAACAGTTCTAATTCATATATGCTCAAATCTATAAATACCAACCAACATTATTAACAAATTGACTGTACATAACAAGATGGCTGGAACCATTTTTTTGTCATTAAATATTTAGTGAAAGTTAGGGCAATGTTTTTTGACTGAAACTGAGATCCAGGACTGTTTTTTAACATGTCTTAACCCTTTAGAACCTGAAGCTAAAATGTGTTTTCTTCTCACATTTTGATTTTTTTTTTTTTGACTGTAAAATTCTAAAACAATGTGCTATCTTCATGGGGAATCTGTAATCTTTTTCAGAATTTGTAAATTTTTGTAAATAGAATTTAACCCTCTGATTATCTTGAGGGAACCCAGACAATTACATTTAATTTTGTAACGGAATAAAAGTTTTAATTTTTTTTTTTTTTTTTACATGTAATTTTACTCTTAATGTTCATACTCAACATTCGTATTAATATTTATTAATGTTCTTACTGAACATTTGTGCAGTTTTTGGAGGATTTATGATATCTTTTAAATTTCTATAAATAAATAAATGTTTATTTAAATAGGCTTTTTACAAAGAAAAATAACCAAAACAAAAACAGCATTTTATGTAAAAATAATTTTATAAAAGACCCAGATAACATGGATAATTCTACATGGTTTAATAAGATTTTTGGCCATTTTTGCGCTAATGCAGTTTTAAAATAAAATTAAAAAAAACACTTTAACTATTAGATGGCTATAGAGCTTCACTATGCTATTTGCTATTTGACAAATCAAAATATATTTTTTCCCATTTTTTTTTTCAGTAGGATTCATAACTAAATTTAAGTTTTGCATTTTTTGTTCTAACAAAAGTCTTTCAATAATGTTACATTATGATTAGCATCAAACCTGAACAAGATGTTACAAAGAGAATTGTTGCAGTCAAAATAATATATTATTTATTTCAATCATCTTTTTTAATATAATTCTAAAATTTTAATCAACATGTCAGTTACTAACTGTAACAGAACAGAAATTAACAGTTATATTAAATATTGAGTAAAAAAAAAATACATGATATGAACATCAAAATGCAATGAACTGTACAGCAATAACAAATGAACAAATAGAGCAGTATGTGAAGTTAAAAATAATAGTGAATGGGGGAAAAAAAATAAAACAACTAGGAACAATATTTGGTCACATCTCATACAGTCTCATTTACAGTGCACTGCAGGCAGTATGCATCGTGTAGCCTTACAAATGTATGCCTGTGTAAGTGTATGTATGTGTGTGTGCGCACATTGTGGATGCTTTTTGCATTCTTGGAAGTGTGCCACTTTATTTTTGTCTATGTGTTCTGCGTTGTTTCTGTTTATGATGATGAATTTTGTATATTTACTATGTGGGGTCTCCAGGGACCCCAAAGACAACTAGTGTCACTATTTTTTTCACGCTAACATAAAAACAGATATCATTCCATTTTTTTTTATTTATTTTTTTGTAGATCTAGAAAGTGGCACGCATTCATAGGCGCGCACACATACACATGCACACACCACATGCTAACATACATGAAAGAATAACGGCCATTCGCCTCCCAAGTTTCTTTAAAAATCATCCCAATCCCCTCTTCTGATGTCTACCACTTCTTTCACCATGTATTTATTTGTTTGTTTGTTTATTTTATTACTTTATGCAATCCAATACACTCTAATCTGCCACACTTCGAAACTCTCTGTTCAAATACTTTCTTCCCGCTCTGCCAGAAAACTTCTGTCAATTGCTGACAGAAAGCATAAAATTACCGTAATAAGGTTGTATTGCCGAAAAGCTGTCAAGGGCAATTCGAATTGTTTTGATAAATGGTTGAAAAGTAACAGTAAAATGAATACAGCTTGCTGGTATGTGTTGGACGACACTGCTGTTTCTAAAGGGTTAACAAAAAGTCATTGGTACACTACACAACCCTTGCCTGTTAGCTTCTCAGATTTGACTGCACAAGAATATGCTAAGCATGCAAGGAATGACATATCTTTTTCTTTTTTAAAGACCTTCTCTGGTGTACAAGTCTATTTTGAGATATGGGCTAATATTTCAAAACAGTCTGACTTGAGAGGGAAAACAACATTTTTTACAGCATTTCTCAGTATCTCTCAGCTGAATTTAAGCTCCCTGCACACACATATACATTAGACGCTTTTCTACCTTCGGGCCGTAGGTTTCTAAGGGACAGACGATTACAGTTATATTTCCACTTGAGCTTGGTTTGACACAGCACGATTGCAAACTGTTCTTAGCCCGCAATTCTCAGCACAGTTTACTTCTCAGCACAGTTTACCATCTGGCAAAGCGAAATTATTTGAGTGGTTTGAGCGATGTAAACACCATAATAAAAATAATATAAATATATGATCATTCTCCAATGCGATCACTATTTTCATATCATACCATCTGTAAACTACTGCGCTACCAAGGCAGCGACTGGCGCATTTGTAATACATTCCAAAGAACTCCCTATGATATTTTCAATACATCACTCTTACACTGTCTCTATAACAGACGGGAGCGGCACAATGTAATGCGACAAAAGCCGCGTTTCCACTGCAATTACCAGGAACTATTTGTCCCAGGAACTTTTTTCACAGGAACTTTTTTTTCCCCAGACCGCTTGCTTACTGCGTTTACACCGCGGGAAGATGACGTTGAACTGCGTGCGACTGCTCTTCCTAGCCTGCACGTTTGTTTTGAGTTTTATGGAGGAGATTCAAGATTTGCTGCTTTTTTGTGTGCGATTGGTTTACTAACGAGGTAATTAACAAAACGGTAGAAAAGAGACGAGCACCCAAAGCGTATTCAGAAAGCTCGTAATGCTAGATATAAAAGTAGACGTTTGTTATCAGCGGACATTGACCGTGAGATGGATGGGACGAACGCGCGCTATCGGGCAGAAAGAATAGTGTGGTAAGAACCAATCAGCATGTTCAGTGCACAAGTCCCACCCCGAAAGTTCCTGAACTCTGAAAAAGTACTACCTCGCCAGCAGGACTTTCTGGGGGGGGGGGGGGGGATTTTTACCCGGAACTTCATTTAGACCCTGGTTCCTGCGGTGTAAACACACCGAGTACCACCCCAAAGTTCCTAGATCCTGGGGCTAACAGCAAATAGAGCCCGTTATAAACAGTGATGTTGTCTACAATGGATGCGGTCTGACTATTTCTATATTCCCCATTCTATTTCTGATGTATTCCAAGCGCACATACAACTTCTGTCACAAAGGACAAATGGATTTGCAGCAGTCGCTTTGTCACGTTCAGGCGGTGTGCCGCAACAATGGTCGCGTCCAGTGTAGAGACAGTGTTGTATGAGATAATGGTAAAATTTAGGCAATTTTTACTCAATTATCTTTTTTTTTATCTTTTTTTTGACAATCCAGATCATTAGCTAATACCCCACACTACACCAGTACATTATGACTAAATTATGTTTTTACAAATATTCCTTCTCTTTTATGTAGGACGAAGAGAGGGCAGCCTTGTGAATGGACCCAGAGCAGACCAGATGGAAACAGAAAAGACCAGCCATGATACGGAAAAAAGTCTGATACTTGCACAAATCGGTGCCACTCAGCAGACAGACCCTCTTCTCTTCAAGCAACAGAATGGAGATCTGTCACCTGAGGTCTTGTCTCAGCAGTTCAATGGAGACACAAACTGGAGCCATCTCAAGCCCAGCACAGTGGTCTATCCGATGAAACGACAACAGGATAATTGTTCTAACCCTGCTAACATGCAGGGCATATTTGATCAAAACATGTATGAGATGAATGGACAGATGAAACATGCTCTAAGTGAACAGACATATTTGGACTTTCACCAGCCTAAAAAACTCTGTACTGATTCAGGGGTGAATGGAAATGAAGACCTGAGGCTTTGGGATAAAAGAGAAACCGGAATAGAGAACCGATTAGAAGGATTCTCTAAGCACAACAAGCCAGGAGATTTTGAGATAAAACATAGTAAAAGAAACTGTAACTTCTCTAATGGGGATTTATTCTCAATGTCACAGAACAAGCAAGTTCCAATGTCCAATGGTGCTACAACAAGCCCACCTTCAGTAAAGGGTATAACTGGTGACCTCTTAGAGAAAACTTTGTCTCAGTATTACCCAGAGCATGTGTCTATTGCACCTCAAACCAACTCATCTCAAGTAGATCAGGTCACCAGCAACCTGCCTGAGCAGGTGACTTCTTCACCTTCATTTACCTCAGGTTTTTCTATTTCACCCCATACATCAGCCTCCGAGCCACTTGCCAAGGCAGCCCCAGAAGTACAAGGCAGCAATGGCAACAACCCTAAATTTACAGTGAATGGATACTCTAGCTTTGCAGCTGAGCAAAAGAAGCCTGCTTATCCTCTCTCTGACCTCCCAGAGTTTGGAACACAATCAAGTCAGGAAGCTTCCAATGTGCCATCACAGACAGGCGTTAATGGTTGCTCACAGATTCAAAAAGATAGAAAAGATAAAAAAGATAACCTTCTGAGCGAGTGTTTAAGTATATTCTCCAAGTCCAACCAGGATTTTAGCAGTGAATCATATAAATTGCCCCCAATTATGACAAGTGCCCCCTCACAAAAAACTCAGACAGGTCAGCAGAACCTACAGATTAAGGTGCAACAAAAACAACCAACTGATGAAAACCTCCACAACAATAGAGACTTTTCTTTGCTACAGCAACAGAATCTTGAGCCACCAACAGTTGACAGCAGGTTGATTTCCCAGGCCTGTACACCAACATCACAGAATCCATACAGTGACCACGATAATAAGCCTGAACCAGATCAAGAAAAGACAAAGAGTACAGATCCCCCATCCCAGATGGAATGGATAGATTTAAACTCGGCTTCAGCTCCACTGCCATCAACTGACCACTCACAGATGTGGGATTTTTACCTTCCACAGACCCAAATGCAGCAACATACAGTCTCGCAGAGCCAAAGTCATTGTACAAATTCCATGCCCTCAAACAACTTCCAGTCTTTGAATTTCAGTAATCCCAGTTTTCCCTCACATGAAAGTCAGGCACAAGAGAGTTACAAAAATTCCCAACCTCCTACACAATTTCCCCAAAATTCTGCCCCTGAATGTCAACAAAGAAAATCTGGAATGCACAATCATGCTTCCATGCAATTTGACAAACCCCAACACACGTGCCAGGAGTTATGCAAAAATGATCAAGACCAGACACAATCCCAGGGCTTCCTCTCTCAGCCACCACCTACTGAGCCTCATCAGCAGGCAACCAGCACATTTTCCCATCAGCTCCCTCAGGACAGACAGAATATGCAAGCAGCTCCACAAAAAGATGTTTCCCACATCCAGGTAGATGCACCACTCTTAAAAAGGCTTAAAACAGAGGGTTGTCTTCATTCAGAATCCCAGACAATAGCTCTAGGTATTGAACCCCCAGCACAAACACTGTCTAAGACAACTATAAGAGAATACTCAGCATTTCCAGACCCATCTAATTCAAATGTACAATCCCTGTCTAAAGAAACAAAAGCTCTAACAGAGAGGAAACTCCAGCAGAACATACAGTACCCTCAAAACACCAGTAAACAACAACCAAACTACCAGCAACCTCTCCATCACAGCGTACACAATCATTTGGAATTCCCCCAGTCTCCGATTTCTCAATCACAAGTTTCTAATGGTCTTCAGATACCGGCTCAAACATTTACCAAAACGGAATTGCAAGAGCTCTTTGCCCAAATCCAGAGGGAGTCTCTCGCAAGCCAAGGTGCTCAAGGAGATTTGCAGAGGCACACAGCCTTGCGAATGCACCTTCTGCAGAGGCAGGAGCGACAAGGCCCCAACAACATCAGACCAATTAAGCCAACCATAAAAACTGAAAACTGCTCAGGTTTAGAGACCTCAGCTCAACTGCCACCCATGGACGTGCTACAGCAAGATCAAGACAAAACCAAAGTCATGCCAGTGGCTGTAAAGCAGGAGTATCCTTCTTCATCCTGTGAACAAAGCCTGCCAAGCAGTATTCTTGCTACCATGGAACAGCGGTTAAAACAGTATCAACTATCACCTGTGTTTGAAAGAAAGTCTTTGGTTATCAAGTCACCCAATAAGGTTAAGGTGGAGATTGCTGGGGGTGTGACTGTGCTCTCAACCAGTGCTGAGGGGAATGTCAAGGAACAGTGCAAACCACAAAACTTCACCCCACCTAAAAAGATTGAACCCGGGTTACAAAGCTTTCTGGATTCACCCATGAAGATGCTTAATACACCAATAAAAAACTTACTTGATACACCTATGAAGACACAGTATGATATTCCTTCATGTCACTGTGTTGGTAAGAGATTCACACTGAATTTTTTTGGTACACATTTTGTGTTGTTTATACATTAGAACTGCACACTTAAAGGAGTAGTTCACTTTCAAATGAAAATTAGCCCATGATTAACTCACCCTGAAACCATCCTAAGTGTCTATGACTTTCTTCTTTCAGACGAATACAATCCGAGTTACAGTACATTAAAAAATATATCCTGGCTTTATAATGTTAGTTTTCTAATGGCAGTGAATTGCAACCAACGGATTGAAGCCCATAATGTGCATCCATCCATCTCAAACGAACTCCAAACAGCTCCAGGGGTTAATAAAGGCCTTCTGAAGCAAAAATGAGTTTGTGTAAGAAAAATATTTTATATTAAAAACTTTATAAAGTAAAATAACTAGCTTCCGGCCAAACAAGCATAAGGATTCCATTTAAGTGCAAGTAATGCTGCGTACTGTTGATATTTACACAACGCCATGACGTCATATGCTACTTCTCAAATTACTAATTATTAGTTGTTTACTTCATCATAAATTCTGTAAGTTGTGCATTAGGGGCAAGTAGTCTGCGTTTGGCCGGAAGCCAGAACTTTACTTTGTAACGTGTTAATGATTTTTTTTTTTCTTACCCAAACTCATCGTTTTGCTTCAGAAGGCCTTTATTAACCCACAGAAGCCGTTTGGAGTTTGTTTACAATGAATGCACATTTTTGAGCTGTTGGTTGCAATCCACTGTTATTATAAATATCTCAGATTTAATTTGTCTGAAAAAAGAAAGTCATATACAACTAGGATGGCATGAGGGTGAGTAAATCATTGGCTAATTTTCATTTTAAAGTGAACTGATACTTAATGTAAATAGTTTGATATCTTACTGTTATTTTTAATCAAATTAAATCATTTTCATATTAATTATATTTTTTTTCTCCTGACAATCTATGACAAAATCCATAGACCAAATCAGTGAAAGGGATGAAGGACCATATTATACTCACTTAGGATCAGCACAGACTGTTGCAGGCATCCGCAAAATTATGGAGGAAAGGTATGATATTATGAACTTCTCTAATGCACAAAATAAATGCTTGTAACTTATTCTCTCAGTATTTTTTCTAGCTATTACACTATGTTTCCTGTGACAGATCTGGACTGACTGGAAGTGCCATTAGGATTGAAAAAGTTGTGTATACTGGCAAGGAAGGGAAGAGTGGGCAGGGCTGCCCCATTGCTAAATGGGTAAAGGCAATTCATTTATATCCTGTGTGTTCTCTTTTTTATGCATATGCATCACCTATCTTTGTCCGTTTCTGTAATTAAATATTAAAACATTATTGTTAGTTTTCTCATCTACAGCACCCTCTATGGAAAACTCAGTTACATGACAGAGGTCTCAAACTGCTACCTGTATATTTTCTGGATATTTTGTACATGTGCACTATGTTGTGTAGGTAATACGGAGGGCAAACGTAGACGAGAAACTCCTGGTCTTGGTACGAGAACGGACTGGTCACTCATGTGAAACATCCTGTATAGTAGTGGTCATCTTAATTTGGGAAGGCATAACAACGAACCTGGCTGACAGTCTCTACACTGAACTCAGTGACACGCTAACAAAACATGGTGCCCTAACCAACCGCAGATGTGCTCTAAATGAGGAGTAAGGACAAATGCTTGTTATTGCTTTTACACAAATACAGTAAACATTCACGTCAAATGAACTTCATTTATTTAGCGCTTTTTACAATACAGATCATTTCAAAGAAGCTTTACAGCGATAACAGAACAATAATGCAACAAAGTTTGTTTTGGCTGTACAGCAGCTGTAGAAGAAAATAATGTCATTGTCTAGCTAAAGTAAATTCAATGCTTATTCATTTTCGTTGTAAAAATAATTGGTTACTAATTTATCTATAAAGCAGCTCTAGAGAAAAAAGTAATATCATCAGTCAGCTCAGTTCATACAATGGTGACAATGCAGTCAGATCAATAATATCATTAAATATTAAAGGGACACTATGCAGGAATTTCATTTTTGCCAAACAGCGACCCCTAGAGTCGCTGTGGAGTACTTGTATTTAACGTTACTGTCATAAATACCACTCACTCAGAGCGTGACATAGCATGACGTGTTACATAGTATACAATAGTACATTGTATTAAATTTGTCGTTTGATGAGATCTAAAATATGTTGTTAGTGGTGAGAATTTTCACGTGATTAAATGCATAGATCCATAGCCATGTACTTTAATGGCAGAACATTTACCAAGTGTGTCAGAGGTTCTATGTTCTAGCTAATCTGCACAAAGTAGCCTAGTATAGTTTGCAATGGCCACCATTAAACCCGAAAGAAGTCATATAACCATTTCAATAGCTCCAAAGCTGTTCAGTTAAGCTAAAAAAAATGCATAGTGTCCCTTTATAAGTGTGAATATTAATAAATATTCCCTAACCGAAAAGACAAATCATTTTTATTAAATAAATTACTATTATGTAATATTAAATTATTATCGACTGATAAATTTATGGTCTGTGGTCTTGATTGCTACCACTTATCTGACCACTTTCTGCTTATTGTACATTTATGTTTTTTATGTTTTCCTAAAGACAAGATATATAATGGCTTCAACAAAACATAAAATTCTAGACATCCTAAGGTATCTTTACAATATGTTTATTTGTCTTAAAACTTAACATTCTGTCATTTTCCTTAGGAGAACATGTGCATGTCAGGGTTTGGAGCCTGATGCCTGTGGAGCTTCTTTCTCCTTCGGCTGCTCCTGGAGCATGTACTATAATGGCTGCAAATTTGCCAGAAGTAAAATCCCCAGGAAGTTCAAACTGCTTGGTGATGATCCCAGGGAGGTGAGATGCTCTCACACAAACACAAAATGGACTCAAAGGACATACAAGATAGGAAATAACAGGATAATGTTTGATTCCCTTACAGGAAGAGAAACTGGAACAAAATCTCCAGGGTCTTGCAACTTTCATGGCCCCATTGTATAAACAAATGGCACCTGATGCTTACAGCAATCAGGTACACATTTAAGCTTTCTGCTTCAGGTCTCATTTTACAGGATAGTGTATTTACATGTATGTATAGTGTTGTATTATATAAAAATAAGTAAAGTTAAAGTGACTGCAATAGTGCATTAGGCTAATTGCAAAAGGGGCATTATACCAAAGTAGGCAAATTTTAAGTTAAAACAAATTTCACATATATCTACCGATATTTGACAGGTGGAGCATGAACACAGAGCTCCCGATTGCCGTCTGGGCCTAAAAGATGGACGGCCATTTTCTGGAGTGACAGCCTGTCTAGACTTTTGTGCTCATGCTCACAGAGACCTCCACAACATGCAAGGGGGCAGTACTGTGGTAAGAATTAAAGTTGACATGAAACAGACATTGTGATGTCCATTGTCCCTATAGTGATGAATTTCCAAGTGAAATGGATTGTGGAATTAGAAATAAATGTAGGGCGGAACTGGATTTAGTCCTTGGGAATTGATTGGACTGTAAGAAGTTGGAGTTGCTAACTAAATAGAGCTGGTAAGTCCCACCCCTTCCACTAACTGGACCGCTGGACCAACTAGTTTGAAAAATCGTCAATGCGAGTGAATGAGAGAAAATATTTTCTAATCCCGTTTGAATTTTGCAATGAATGTGAACATATGTTGTCTGTGAATTTTTTATATAATTTTTCGTGTAAAGAATGCTACAATTTAGCAGGTGGAATTTTCATATGGTTAGACTTTGTGTGAGAGCACTTGGTGGACTACAACTCTTTCGACGTGTTTGACATACCTCACCAACACTAGCACACGGATCCCGCTAAACAAACCATTGTTTGAATGGTGACATTTAGGTACAAAACACACAGGCATCTCGGAAAAATGTGTTATGCGGTGACGTCACATATGCGACGTGTAGTCTTTCTCGCTATGTCTATTCCACAACTGCTAGCCAAAGAATCATACAATCTACTGTCAAACTCGTTACATAAGAAATTATATAAAAAACTCGCAGACAACATATGCTCACATTCATGGCACAATTCAAACGGGATCAGAAAATAATTATTTTCTCTCATTCACTTACATTGACGCTTTTTCAACCTAGAGGTCCACTGAATGTCAGTTAGCTGTCAGTTGTGAAGGATATTTAATCACATCCTCCACAGAGACATGGCACGAAGAGCACAGATGCTGTCCGAAGGGGAGAGGAGGTTGATGTTTTTAATTGAAGATTATGAGTGGAGATGAATTAAAAAAATAAAGTTGTGCACAGAAAAATCATTATAACTTTTAAAAAATAACATTTACATTCAGTAATATATATATATATATATATATATATATATATATATATATATATATGAAGAGTTCAGATGCAAAAGCCTCTAAATGCCATTTGAAATTTTCTTCTTTAATGATAATTTTTATCAAACTTGTATTTTTAAGTTCAGTAATTTCACTTAAATGGCAATGATAATTACCTATTAATTGTTATTTAAGTGAAATTACTGAACTTAAATATACAAGTTTGATAAAAATCATCATTAAAGAAGAAAATTTCAAATGGCATTTAGAGGCTTTTGCATCTGAACTCTTCATATACATATATTGTCCATTTTGATTTCATGGTAACTTTAAAAACGTAGTGAAAACTAATAAAGAGCATTCACCAAAGCCAGCAGTTAAGTCTATTACATGATACAAATAATATATACCCTGCTTTATACTCTGAAAGTGGAAAACAAAAGATGGCTAAAACACAGTTGTAGTTGCAAAGCTACCAATTAAACAGGCCAAACCTCCCTCTCTCTTTACTCTATTTGTAGGTCTGCACGCTAACACGAGACGACAATCGTGAGATTGGAAAAATTCCTGAGGATGAGCAGCTGCACGTGCTTCCCTTATACAAGGCCTCCTCCACTGATGAGTTTGGCAGTGCTGAGGCTCAGCTGGAAAAGACGAAGACTGGTGCCATTCAGGTGCTCAGTGCCTTTCGTAGACAGGTGCGTATGCTACCAGAGCCTGCCAAGTCTTGCCGGCAAAAGAAGCTGGATGCCAGGAGAGCTGCAGCTAACAAAACAAACCCCAACACACCTAACTCCAAAATGGACAGCACCCAGCAAGCAAAGCAGAAACAGACCGCTTTTGAGACCCCAGGCCAGAACACAACTGTAACAGGTACAAAAGCAAGGCTTTAAAATGTATTCAGCTATAAATAATTGAATTAGGGGTGATACAATACATGATATAAAAGAATAATAGAACAGATTTGAAGTGTTTATCAATGTTTCAACACCAAAAGTTTACATTTTGGTCTAATCCCATTATTTCTTCCAGGCTCAGGTAACATAAATCTGGATCCCGGGCATCTCCCGCATGCTGGCCATCAGCATCATCGGCAGCAAACACAACCTAATTCTAATCCCACTTACACGGTCTCGCAGTTCCCTAGATTCTCAAATGCATCAGGAGCCCTCTCAAATGCTTCTAAACCAATGACCCCACATCCTCAAACACCACCTAATGCCAGTCCCTATCCCTCTCATTTACATGCACCCAACTCTTACATTAACGTGTCTAATGCACCCACCCCATACCCCAGGTCTCTTACACCCAACCCTCTCTATACTGGTTACCAATGTAATGGGGGGCTTCCCATGGACAACTACCACCCTTACTACTCTTCTAATCTAAAGCATCCAGATATGTATCATCCCCAAAGAAATTCGCTGTTCTCTGAGCAGCAGTACAGCGCATCTCAACATTATGCCGTCAACTACCCACCACACTACGGAGAGCCTAGCTTACCACCCAATGGTTATGGTACCTGTAACATGAAACCTGGCATGACCTCTATGGGACATTACCCAGGTTATCATCCTAATATGCCACCTGATGCCTTCTCCAGGCCTCCTTCAGCTCATCTACATTTGGACTATGCTACTATTGGCAAAAGCAGCCAGTTTGATGCTTACCCCAAGCCTCATATGTCCCAGAATTCCCAAATGTTTCCCCCAAACCCAAATACCTTAAGTATGCAAAGTAATAACGAGTTAGAGATAAACATGCATGGAGCAAATGGTATCCCTCAGGTGTTTCCTCCTTTGGGTAATGAATGCTTCAACCCAAACCAACATCCAGGCTTGAGGCATTCCAGTGAAAATGCCCTTAACCCCGTTGTCAACCAGACAACACTTGCCCAGAGTTCAGAACAAAAAGAAAAGGAGGATGTGTGGTCTGACAGCGAGCACAACTTCCTTGATCCTGAAATTGGAGGGGTAGCAGTGGCACCTAGTCATGGTTCAATCATTATCGAGTGTGCTAAGCGGGAACTCCATGCGACTACACCAGTCAAGAAGCCTGACCGCAACCACCCCACCCGTATCTCACTGGTGTTTTACCAGCACAAGAACTTGAATGAGGCAAAACACGGACTGGCTCTGTGGGAAGCCAAGATGGCAGAGAAGGCCCGGGATAAAGAGGAAGATGCTGAGAAGCACGGTGCTGAAAATACAACGAGCAAGAGCAGTGGAAAGAGAGTGAAACGAGAACATTCAGAACCTTCTGAACCTCCATACAAGCGGTTTCTTCTCATGCTTACAGAACGGTCAATGTCTTGCACTACTAATACATATGTAAGCACATCTCCCTATGCCTTTACCAAGGTGACCGGACCTTACAATCATTTCCTGTAAAAACCTCTCTCTAGGTTCAGAGCATTCATAAACACAAGAATGAGAGTGAATGACATGGTGCATGAAATGGTGCTACAATATAGTGACCTCAGTACCACTGACCACATAACCCATAATTCTTGTTCAGTTTCAGGTTCTTGACAATAGTAAGATTCTGTATTATTACTATACATAGAGCATCAGTTGGCTTTTTACACGCTCTTAAAAAGTCAATCTTTACTGTTTGATCAATTGGAAATATTTATTTAAATACTCACGTATGATAACACTGTTCTTCATCCATGGTGCTTAAAGTCCAACAAATTTGGACATATTACTGGAAAGAAATATTCATCCTAGGTGACTTTTGTGGCTAATCACATTTTTATGGTGCTAGTGAGTGTTTTGAATGCAGAAATGTGTTTTTTAAAGCCTTTCTTTAACAACACACAACTTGTATAATTTTAAAGTAATACACATTCTTTTTAATTAAGCAATTAAGACATTATCAAGCTTAAATAATGTTTTAGAAGCACTTGTTTAGTAATAATGAGGGCAGCACTTGCTGCTCTCCAATTTGAAAAAAATGTATTATACTCCATTCATTTTAGTTTCACAATGAGGAAAACAATGATGACGAACTCCACAGTGGATAGTTAAAAATAATTTTAAATACTTTAAAACAATTTTACAAATTACTTACACTTACTGTGTAGTGAGCCACTGAGGGCCAATTTTGTAACAGTAATGTTCTGAGAAAGAAATCACACAAAATAGCAAACAAAACCGTGAAATTTCAGAACACTGAATACTGGAGTCAAGAAAAACATTGGTCAATATTAGGACCTCAAAGCATATGTCAAGGAACACCTAACAGGGTTATTTTTACATCAATGTCACTGTTTCAGAGGCAGCTGGCTTGGCTTGCTGTGGGTTTTTTACATAACGCAACTTTAGCTGTATAAAAAAAAGTTGAGATTTGTACAGTAAATTAATTTTTCTTTGAATGTATGCTTAGACAATAGTTTAGTAAAGAAGAGTACTATTTCTTTGGGTTTGATTTTATTATTTCAAATGGTGCTACTTGACCTGCTATAAATATAATGTGAGTATCTCTAAGGGCGTTGAGAAGGCTTATGAATGATGTAGAAAAACCTACTTATCATATACCTCAGAACTAGTTTGGCAATAGAATTATAATATCAAGGTGTTTCTGTTATTTTACTTCCAAACACTTTGTAGCAAAAACTAACACATACCTTATGGCCATTATTGATGCAAAGTTCATTTCTTGCTTTCTTCACACTTGATCAGAAAGTATTGCTTGAACTTCAAGTGTCAACGGAATTGCAAAATCAGGGATATATCAGCTCATTTCAGTGCATAAACATCACTTGTGTTCATGTTGTCTTCTCTAATTCAGGTTTGATCCTTTATATTTAAAATTCTTATGAATTGCTTGTATACCACACACATATCTAACTTTATTAGAAAATTAAAACAATCAGAATTTATGTGCTGTTGAAGCAAAATGCTGATAAACCTTTTAAAAAGTAATTTGAACATTTTAACATTTAAGCACTGATTTAATTAAAGGGAAAGTGTCATGACATATAAAGCAATGCATTTCCAAGTCAGTTAAAATACTATGTGGACAATTAGTTGCATATGTATAGTTTGAGACTGAGTACATTTACAACCACTAAACATATGTTATTGCCTCTTACACTCCTGTCCCTGAATTAAATTAGATATTTGATGAGTTATTGGTAATTAATGAAATACAACTCATTCCACTCTGACATGAACAAATTAAGCACTTCAATTTGTTGTTCTTTTTTTAAATAGATGTAAATGCAAAATAGATAGAATATTGTAAATTTCTTAAATAGATTTATTCCACATTGTGTATACACCACATAATTGCATTGCATAAGTCTAAGTCCATTCTTCTCAATTCTAAGTCCATGTTATGTACGAAGGTTCATTTCCATGTTTGTTTAAAGTCAACCCACACAATAATAATAATAATCATAATAGATTTTGTTCCAAAATCCTTTGTCTTGTTGGTTTTCGGGTTACCTGAGGTTTTTTTTTTTTTTCTGTCAAACAATAGCAACGTTTACAATTTTTTTTTTTCTATTACAAATCAATTCGATGTACTGACTAGTTAAGGAAGAAGCTTCCAGTTCTGTAGTTTAAATTAGATGTTAAATTTAAGTGTATAGGGCCCAGCTTGAGTAGCAGGTTGTGTATGAAGCAAGTGAAATGGGTGGTTAAAATTTAGTGAGTGACAAGAATAGCCATACTTGAAGATGCTTCGGAGTGTTTCTGAGTGGAGTCAACTTTACTTGAATGAATTTCTGACTTCAACTAACGAACTGGGGTGCACAACTTTTACATTAAGCTAGCAGTTTATGTACACATTGGTATTTTGCCATTAGACACTAAAAGTTTTAAATGTGCTATTTTCTGCCTTTTTGTATTGCTCCTCGTTTGTAATGCTTAAAACATTGAATTCAGAATGGCATTGAATACTGTAAGTATTGTATTGTACTGAAGAACTGAATGCAGTTTATTTGAAAAATATTTGTTATGATTTGTTATCATTCCTAATATTGCTGAAATGTGGGGTTTTTAATAAAATGTATATTTATTTCAAGCATTTACAGTAAATTGTACAATGTTTAATAAACAGTTAAATTTAAAACATTTTATTTATAATTTGCAAATAGTACAAATACAAACAATCAAAAGAAAAGTGTTCAACCCTTGAAGTTTTTATGTTTTATTCCAAACAAATTTGGATTATTCGTGCTTTTTTATTATTATATTATATAAACAAAGTCTAAAGAGGAGAAAAGACACAGCATGTTTGTTTTCACAATAACTGCTGTTTTATAGAAATTACAATCAATTAATATATTTTACAGAGTTAAGACACCATTCTTCATGCTTTGAGAATGTTCATTGAAAAAGCTATTTTTATAGATAAATTGTTTTTTATTAATATATTTCCAAGGAAAAGACTAACAGAAACGATTCGAGGAGTTCATTTCTACTAGTCCTTGATTCTGATTCAGGGAAAGTAGTACAGCATTATTCATTATTTATAGCGTTTGAGTTTATCACCTTACTAAGACAAAGTCATCTTGTCCTAATTTGAAGCCAAGAAAAGTCTGGGTGGTTCTAATTTTGGAATACTTTACAATAAGTTTCCATTTCTTTCATTAGTTAACATGAACTAATAATGAACTTTATTTCTACAGCATTAATTATTATTTTTTGTAACTTTAATCAAAAGGTTGTATCCTTTCACATCAAAGTATGAACTTCTAATGAACAAACAATTGTATTTTTATGAATTAGCATTAACAGACACATAAATGCTCCATAGTTGTAATCAAAATTATGAAATCCCCATTGCAAATCCAGTATACAAGCAAAATTTAATTACTTTCATCTTTTTGCAATGAACAAATCTAAAGTAATTTAAATAGCTCAACACAACACAACACTTCAAATTTCCCCCTGGGGACAAATAAAGTGCTTGAATGAATGAATGAATGAAACTATTCAATGCCCTGGATAGAATGAATCCCTCACAACAGCACAATCTGCAAAACCAGCCCATTCTCACTCCCAAGGCGTCACCTAACTGACGCCTTGGGAAGCATTTGACCATGCTTCAATATTTGACGCTTTAGGCGCCCTTTAGCGTCAGTTAGATGACGCCCTAGGATCGCGTGTACCCTACCCCCACACCTAAACCTAACCGCGTCCTTTAACTGACGCTTTCCTTTAGCGTCAGTTAGATGACGCCGTAGGATCGCGTCATGTAAGTGACGCTAAAGGGCGCCTAAAACGTCAAATATTGAAGCATGGTCAAAGGTGACGCCTTGGGGTGAGAATGTGTTGGCAAAACAGCTGTTGTCTCAAACTAACCTGACGCAACTAATTAAGGGCTGCATTAGTAACACCAGGTGTGCTTGAGCTAGAAAACATGAAATATCTAAACTGGCTATGTGTGTTGAGTTTCACGTTAGACTGCATGTTAGAAATAAATAAATAAATTAGAATATATATATATATATATATATTGTTAGAATAAGTCAAAAGAATGGTCCACAAAGTTTAGAGAAGATATAAATCACCCTTCACAAACAAGGAACCGGATACAAAAAGGTAGCAAAAAAAGGCACTAAATGTTCCTATAGACACCGTTTGAAAGTTAAAAGTTAAAGGTACAGTGGTTACACTACCTGGACGGAGATGAAAAAGGAAGCTATGCAACCAGATTTCTGAGAAGACATGTGGTTCAGAAAAACTCTAGAGTGACTGCAAAAGACCTGCAGCAAGACTTGGAGGCAACAGTCACTCAGGTTTCAGCTTGCACAGTAAGGCCATACTAAACACGTGCCAGAACTCAGACGTACACCACTACTGACCCAAAAGCACAAGAAAAGTTGGCTCAAATTGCTCAAAATCATATAAATTGGCCACAGAAGTTTTGGGATCCATTCTGTGGAACGATGAAACAAAACTGGAACTTTTCGGCCCTATGGATCAGTGTTAAGTCCGGAGTAAGAATGAAGCATATGCTGAAAAGAACACCCTGCCTACAGATAGGCATGGTGGTGGCTCGATATTGCTCTTGTGCTGCTTTGTATCCTCTTTAACTGGCATTAAAGTATCTGGAAATCTAGAGGAGACAACGGGATGCCGTCAGTGAGGAAGCTGAAGCTTGGGCGTCATTGGACCTTCCAACAGGACGATAATCCCAAGGGTAAATTTACACCAGGGTTTGGTTGCAGAAGTTCTGAAAGATTGTTCAGTGGCCATCACAGTCACCTGACTTGAACCCTACAGAAAATCTCAGATGGGATTTGAGGAAGGCAGATGCAGCACGCAAACCCAAGACTATTACTGTTCCTCAGAAACTCTGGCGTCTGGATTTACTTCTCATTTGCAGCAGGTCATAACAGCAAAATTGTGTTCTACATAGTACTAAAGATGCTTGCCATGAAGGGGTTGAGTAATTTTGAGACAGCAGAAGTCATTAAAGGTTGCATTTTCAGTTGAATTGGGGGAAACCACTTAAATAATTTGTTGTGTTGAGCCATTTCAAGTACTTTTGTTTGATTTATCATGGCAAACTAGCTAAAAGTCTGTACATTTTGCCAGTAAACCTGATTTGCAATGGGGGTGGAATAATTTCAAGATTTCTAGAATCTCTATTTACTATCATTCCTTGTTTATATTGCTAAATATAACTTACTCAGAACATTAGACTATCTAATATATGTTATCACATTAATCTGACATCGCTAGCTTTTATCGATATCGCTTTCGCTGCTATCTCGCTAGCAGCCTGTTAACCCGCCATCCGTGCTTGCCGTCTTTAGTTTTCTTTTTCTCGCTCACGCTTTTTTCGAGTCTATCAAACAACTGTGGTTAGTAAGATCAGTCAACAAACATGGTGAGTAATGTCTTCTCTTGTTATTGTCACTTGCACTTCGTGGATAAATTTGTGGACACTTTACATGTGATAAATGTAGAGAGATTATCAGGCTGACAGAGAAGATTTCAGAACTAGAGACACACATAAGAGTGCAAGGGCTTTAGATACTACTTTGGATGCAGCAAGCTTAGTGAACTCAGCAGGGCAACTGGGTGACCATGAGACGCTGTAATTGTGGGATAAAACACTGCTCTTCCATTCCGTTTACCATAACAAAAAGATTCTCCCCATTCAGTGAAACACCCACTGAGAATTCTGTTGAAAGTGCCCTAGTTATTGGCGATTCTATTACACGGAACGTGTAATCACATGCTTGCCGGGAGCCAGAGCGCCTGACATCAAGGCAAATTTAAAAGTGCTGGCTAATGCTAATTGTAAATTCTCTAAGATTATTATTCACGTTGGCACGAATGATGTTCGACTTGATCGAGTGATCACTAAAATGAATGCTAAAAAGGTGTGTGAACTCACAACTATAATGTCAGTCACTGTAATTTGCTCTGGCCCCTTTCCTGTTCGCTGGAGTGATGAGATAGTTGTCCTAGATACTTGAGTAAGTGGACTGCCCTCACTCAATGGCTGGCTGTGCAAGTAGTGTCCGCAAAATAATATAGAATTTATAGACAATTGGAAAAGTTCTTGGGGCAGACCTGACCTGTTGAAAAGAGATGGAATTCATCCCTCCTGGAATGGTGCAGCTCTACTCTCTAGCAAAATGGCACATAGTCTTAGAGCTTAAACATGAATTAGGGATAAGGTCAGGAAGCAGACAGACTGGCTAAACTGACGGTCTGCTAGCTGTCGGGTTGATCACTTACTTGACACATGCCTTTGGTGTGAGAGATCTGGGTTCGAATTCACTGTGAGACACCAATGTGTCCCTGAGCAAGACACTTAACCCCTCATTGCTCCAGAGGCATGCAACCTCTGACATATATAGCAATTGTAAGTCGCTTTGGATAAAAGCGTCAGCTAAATGAATAAATGTAAAAGTACTTCAAAGGCACTCATTGTTAATGATATGATCACAGAGTATAACCTAGATGAGCTGTGTTTGACAGGAACCTGGCGAAAACCAGACGATTATATTACTTTAAATGAATCCAAGATTAAACCACCCCAAGATTGTTATAAACATGAGCCACATCTGAAAGACAAATGTTGCTGTAATTTATAGTAATTTCTTCAGAATTACTGAGAAGTCTTGTTTCGAATATAAGTCTTTTGAAGTGTTGCTGCTTAATGTAACACTATCTAATGTAAATGATGATTACGTTTGAGATTTGTGCTGGCCACTGTATACGGGGCACCACACAGCCTTTATCAAAGAATTTGCTGATTTTCTATCACTTCTACTAGAAATAGAGTAATTTTCTATTACTCATTGTCATAATCATTCTCTAAGATCTAATATCATCACATGGAATCAATGTTGATGCCATTGAAATTCTGCAGCAAAGCGATGACATCTCCGATCATTATCTATCTCATGTACTGTATCCTTCATTTAGCCAAGGTTACAAAGCCAACTCCGTCTTACAAATATGTTAGACCCACCACTTCTGCTACTAAAGATTGTTTTATTAATATATATATATATATATATATATATAATATACATCAGTTTCATCTCCTCGGCATCCCAGATAGCTTAATTAAAAGAACTTGATATTGCGACAAATGTTTCACTCACTTTTCCAGAACTTTAGACACAGTTACGCTTAAAGAAGAAGCTTTTTTAAAGCTTGCGCATATTTTTTTTCCTAAGGCTTGTGTTCTTGAGCAACCAGGCACTGTTGTTGTGCAGGTAAGCATGCCGGAGCGCGTTAGGGGTTTTCTGTTAGAACGGTGTTGTGTAAACTGGCCCTAAGTTAATAACTAATGACCTTTGCAATGAAAGTGAATCAATCAAAACTAAATTTTAACTGGAAAGTAACTTTATTCTAGTGCTGCTGTACAGCCAAAACAATCTATTATGGTGCGCTCAAACCAAACGCGAATAGAGCGTCTGACACGAGTGATTTCGATGTTAAAGAGGTGGTTCAGAATTTTGGACATCTGGCCTTATTCCCAAGTTAGCCTTAGTGTTATTTATCAGTGGAGACAGTTTTCAAAAATGTTCATTCAGTCGTTCCTGTTGCATAGTTCACCTGTGCCAGGCTACCGCAAGTCAACGGTAACTGCTAGTCTGTTTTTTAATGTTTTAGTTTTACCCAATCCACAGTACACTAAAAGCAAATAAATTTTAACATCGGACTATCAATGTAAATGTCTGTTGAGAGAATAATGTTAGAAATCAAACTACCCTTTAATCACATTGCAATAGTTATAGTTTATTCCCTGTATTTATTAGCGCTACAGCAGCTGCTACAGTCTACAGCAGCTGCGGAGTGATATTAAAGTCAGCCAGAAATCAAATTTGACAAATCTTCTTTTAATATGTAATATTGATTTTTCATTGTGGTGATGATATTATAACTAATAATTCATAAATTAATTTGATCAAAAGGAATTCCATTTTGTAAAAACATCTAGTAAGATGATTTTTATAATTTTCAAGTAATTCTAAACTTCGTGAGGCAGAGCAGATGACAACAATGCGATCAAAAACAAACAACTTGTAAACAGGCTCCACATCACCACCCAGTGCATTTATTTCTAATTGCGAGTTATTTTTCGAATAATAATTGCAGATCGAATGTTAAAAAAACAAACAAATATTCATGCAAACCCCTAATGAAATGCATAACAAAAATGTGTGTAATATAAATCACAACAAAAAAACTTTTATACATTTTTTTTTTTTATACAAAAAAAGTTTATACATTAACTTCAACTCTTTCCTGATCCGATTTAGCCGCTGGTTATGCTCAAACAGAGGCTGAACAAAATTTGTTATATTCAGGTATTTGATTATGTACCTTGGTTGTGAAGTTAAAGCATTCACAAAAAATAATAATAACAACAAATAAATATATAAACTCTCCCACCATGTTTAAATTGGCATGACTAAAAAAATGCACAAATTATCAACTTTTGTGACGATGCAGCACTGTCCCCGTGAACCATCGGGCAGTCTAATGTCGATCCATTCCAAGCGCTTTTGTTATGGTTTTGTTTTCATTATCGAGTGCCCTCGCACTATGTGACAAATCCTTCTCTTGTTAGTCAAAATGACCCGAAGCCCTAAAATCAAACTTTTTTTTTTTGGCCCAGAAAGCTGATTTCATTTCATTTTGATAATAGCAATTTTTTGGAAGTTGTTTTGTTATTTACCTTTAAATGACTATTTTATCAATAAATAATAATTTAAGCAAATTCATCACATTTTTTCAACTTCAATTAAAAACTTATTTCCCATGCATAACCCTTTTAATTCAGTTAAAAATATATCACACAATGGGTGTCTCTGCTGACCTCTTGTGGAAAAACAAAATTGCAATTGCAATTCGCAACCTCACAACTGGCACTGTAAAAGTATGATGAAAGAAAATAAAAGGGAAAGAAAAAAAAAACTCACGTTGTGAAAATGGTTGACTATTTAACCTTTAAAGTAAGAAAGGTAACATGAGCTTTGGCACTGAAACACATGTACTTTGAAATATGTAAAAACAAGTAATTAAGTACAGATACATGTCAAATATTACTGTAAGAATACTGAAATATAAGAAAATTACTTGCATATATGATAACAAATGAATGACAAGTAAGTGTGTATGCCTTGTGCTACTAAATAAAGACAAGTTTTAAAAATAAAACATTAATGAAACATAAAAATGGACATTACATGTAAAGGCATCGTCTGCCCTTTTGTCCCTTGTGTGAATGATCTTTTACTGTGCAAAGAAGTGCCATTTGTCCACTGAAAAATGGAAACGAGTTCAAGTTATATAATTTAGAAAATAAAACTAAATTAATAGATAATAGTAATAATAAAAAAAAAAAAATATATATATATATATATATATATATATATATATACACACACAAATTTACCTTCAGAAGAAACTGCAAGAGGTTCCCCATATTCTGCAGCCTACAAAAGCAAATGTGCAGTTGTCTTGTGTGTTCAAGGAATGGCAAAAAATTTGCCAATATTAAAAGACATAAATACTCACAGCTTGAACTACAGCACTGGCCTCTGTATCACTGCATGTGAATGGACTATCGCACAAGGAGGTGTTCTGACTAAAAAAGAGAGATAAAATTATATATGATCATAATTACAGTAATCAAAATGCAAGACTACCAAATCTTTAATAAGGAGAAACTCTGCTGTCATTTATATCTGGTATAAAAAAAAAAATCACATCTCACACTCACCAAACAATTTCATCACCTTTCGTCTTTGTTCTCATCACTAATGCTTTCCAGAAGCCATGTGTTGATTTTATGACTTCTATAGCAAAGTCCTAAAAATATAATAACATCAACAACATTAGATATATCATTAAATGGATTAACACTTCTCCATCAGCAATCTACCATGATACGCTACCTTATCCTTGAACTGTCCATTGAATGCAAATTTGTTCTCAGGCTTTCCATCTGGTACTTTATATTTTTTAAACCAATCCACCGTAGCCTCAAGATGACCAGGCTTGATCTTTCTCACATCCTCAATACCTTTTAATGATACACTAATTGAGATTGCTCATTCATAAATGTAGATAATACAAAAATGACATAGATGTATAAAAACAAATACTCACTGTTAAGGCTTGATGCATCTGGGTCCTCTATATTGATGGCTATTACCTTCCAATCAGTCTCTCCTTCATCTATCAAAGCCAGAATTCCAAGAACTTTAACCTGAATCACCTGCCCCGTTACACACACCTGTGACGCAGAGATTTACAGTGAGTTACAAAAGTAATCAGAACTACAATCAATTCGCGTTGGTAAAGAAAGAAGAATCTATTGTTCTAAATATTAATAAAAAAACAAAATACATGGAATATGGGGCCAAAAATGCCACCTACACACCAAGCTACAAAATAATTAGTTAAATTGTCAAAGTATTATAGTATCAATATTAAAAATATATATATTCATTTATTATATTTAAGGTTTCAGTGTACTGAATTAAAAGCAAAACTTAAACGTAGGATTTGTACTTTTGTAAACCACAAAACTGCTTGATGGTTTAAATGCTTTCGCAAGACATTATATTATTAACTATCCAGTTCCACTCACCTTGGAGCCAATCTCACATACGTCTATGGGGTCATTGTCTCCACAGCACGCGGTTTCCTTGTCAGTGTGCTTGGGATCTTCCCATGTCTTTATATATTGGTAAAAAAAAATGCATTATATTCATATTAAAATGTGATAGAGGATTAGTAATACAAAAATATTGCAACAATTAATATGACAAAACAAAAACATTGATTTTTCAATTCATATTGCAGACAGATCTTATGGAAATTCATAGTCATAATCAAAACCAGGACATCACCTGTGGAAGCGCACCATAGTTCCAAATGTAACCTTTGTGCGGAAAAATGTTAGCTACATATCGTAGCTTGCCTTTCTTCACATCTTGCTTGATTGGGTTCAATGGTTCCTTTGTTGCCATCTGTGGATAAATGATATTATATAGTGTGTTTTTAAAAATTCTCTGCTCAAAATAACACACTATTGTATTGCACATAAGCACAATATAAGAACATACAATACTGTATTTAAAATATTTTTTTTTTCTATTGATAGATTCCATCAATCTATTTTATTAATTAATTACACCACAGTGGGGTAGAGACTTATCAGTTTTTAATGTTGAAAAAAGTACTTAACGTTACCTCCATCTTGGCATTTGACCAACGAGGAACTTCTACTACCATATTAAACAGGATCTGTTGAAAAAAAAAAAAAAAAACATTATTAGCATCTATTCTGCAAAAATAAGGTCCCAAAATGCTTATTGATGAATGGTTACCTCATTAGTTTTTAATTTCTTTGGTGGAACGCCACATTCCTGAAATATAAGAAGAATGATGTCATTGGAAAAAAAGACGGAGTAAGAATTGTGCCAGTTATCTTGATGCATTTAGGTTATTGGGCTAATTCATTATTTATTATCACCTGACCACTTTTGAAGTCGACATCCATATTATACATACCAACCTGTTCATCAGCAACATACAGAGGAATGTCATGAAAAGGGGATATGTATTTTCCACCAGAAGTTTCTGCAAAGCAAATGTTACAACTTGTATCAGTCGTCCAAATTCAATTTATCTCAAGGTAACAGACTCTGGTTGGTTGTGTTTAAATGAGGTTGTTCCTCTATCTCTCTCATAGCGTTTGATACAAAGACATAGACCATGGGCGTTGCTAGACGAGAAGTAAAAAGCATAAAGAGCACAAATAAGTGCACAAATAAGGGAATAAGTGCATGTTAAGTCTTTCACAATCTCCCGCCGTTGGCGCTCACAAATTCGAGGGAGGTAACTTAACGTTAACGTACTGAGTCAGCAAAAATAAAAAAATGTATCTGAGCAGTGGAGGGCTTATTATAGTCCTCATTTTTTTATGAATGGCATTTAAAGATAAGAAGGGCAAACTTACTTAAATAAATCCTGTAGTCAGTTGAGTTTGCTCGTCCCCTCTGCTCTGTTAGATAGTGCACCATTTTTCTCAAATGAAATGAAGCAGCTGAAATGAAAGACTTGCTTTTCCGAGAGGACTGCGAAGAGACAAAAGCTGCAGAAAACTTCGCAACAGTATAAATCCCTGAACGCATTCTTCTTCTTCTTCTTCTTCTCTCGAAAAATGGCGGATTGCAACCAACTTTGAAGTGCATACCGCCACCTACTGTACTGGAGTGTGTAACATCATGCTATTTAATTGATCTCATATTCTACCCATCAACCCTGTGACTTTAAGAAATTTAAAAAGTGCCATTCTGGTGCTTATAATCCCTTTCCTCTCTCCTTCTGTTCCCAGTATCCCAATCAGATTCCATTCCCGTCCTGCTTCCTGAACCCCATCTTGTAACACCCGTCTTTCCAATTCATATAATATACAGTGTAATATGACATGTTCAGCATTTTCTTTAACCCCACATTTTTCACAGTTTTCACTATTCCGTTTCCCTATTAAATACAAAGTGCTATTCAATCCTGTATGGTCCACTCTTAGTCTTGATATTATAATTTCCTCCCGCCTAGTCTTTTCTTTATAATTTTTAATACTGACACATTTTTGTACTTTATAATATCCCCTTCCTTTCGTGTCTTCTTCCCACCATTTCTGCCATATTCTCATACCTTTCTCTCTTATCACTGCTTTTCCTTCTCCTTTTCCGAGTGGAATTGGGACTGTTATTTCCTTCTGTAATGCATCTTTTGCTAGTTTGTCTGCACTCTCATTTCCTTTCACTCCCTCGTGTGCTGGTACCCAACAAAACTGAACATCTATGCCACCCCGATATAATCTTAGCAAACTGTGATTTAGTTCTAATAGTAAGTCTTCTCTGGCAGATTCCATTGATTGTATACTTTTAATGATAGATAATGAGTCTGTACATATTACCACTCTATCAGGTCTAACCTCTTCCACCCATTGTAATGCAATGATGACTGCCACAATTTCTGCTGTGTATACTGATAACTGGTCAGATAATCTTTTCGACATATTTATTTTGAATTCAGGAATATGTATTCCAACTCCCACACATTCCTGTTTACTCTTTGATCCATCTGTATAAATTCTGAGATAATTATTGTAACTGTTCCTTATATAAATACTTGTCTTGATTCCCACTTCCTCCATTCTCCATTCCTTTTTCTTTTCTAGGATACTAACATCTGTTTTTACCTCTGGGAAAAACCATGGTGGAATATTACTAACTGGGGTAGACGTTATGAAATCTAAGGCTTTTAATCCATATTCCTCCACTCTCTTTTCCCTGGTCCAGCCAAACCCACGCCCCTGATACTTGTAGTATTCCCAACAGTCCTGTATGATCTCCTTAGTAGGGTTCTCTTTCCCACTTCCTTTCAATCTAATCCAATAAGCTAGTGCAAGTTTTTCTCTCCTTAACTTCAGTGGTGTCTCTCCTGTTTCTATAAGTATTGCGTTAGTGGGTGTTGACTTAATAGCTCCAATGCATACACGTAATGCTCTATATTGTAATCTATCAATTTTTTTTAATGATGTTTTTGCTGCTGCCCCATAAATTATACAACCATAATCTATTGATGACCTCATGCAAGCTCTATAGATGTCAATTAGAGATATTTTATCTGCACCCCAATCATAACCAGCCACAGCTCTCAATAAGTTGATAACTTTTTTACATTTAGTTTCTAAGTGCTTTATGTGAGTTTTCCATGTATATTTACTATCAAACCATAAACCCAGGTACTTAAATTCATTTACTTTTACCATTGGTTGCTGGTATAATGATAATTTTTCAACCTGATACTTGCGTTTGTTTGTGAATATCATATAACATGATTTGCTTGTGGATATCTTAAACCCCCACTCATATGACCACTTTTCTACTTTCTCTACTGCTCTCCTTATGTTCTCTAACACGTATGTCACATTCCTTCCTCTCATCCATATGGCCCCATCATCCGCATATAGCGCTGATTTGATGCATTTATCTAAATTTGAAAACATGTCATTTATCATAATGTTAAACAATACTGGGCTGATTGCGCTTCCCTGTGGAATACCATTGTTTACATTAAACTCCATGGATACCTCTGATCCAACTTTCACTCTTATTTTCCTATTTGTTAAAAAATCCATTATCCAGTTATACATCCTTCCTCCAAAACCCATTCTACTTAATTTAATAAGCAGACCTTCTCTCCACATAGTATCATACGCCTTCTCTATGTCAAAGTATACTATTGTCATCAGCTCTTTCATTTTCAATGCCTTTTCCACTTCATTACTAACTCTAACTAGAGCATCTGTTGTAGAGTGTCCTTTTCTAAATCCACTTTGTATGTTAGTCAATAATCCTCTCTGTTCTAGTACATGCGATATCCTACGAACTATAACCCTCTCCATCCATTTGCATAAATGGGATGTCAACGCTATGGGTCTATAATTACCAGGATTAGTTGGATCTTTACCTGGTTTATTAAATGGTAGTATAATTGCAGTTTTCCAGCTACTTGGTATCATTCCATACCTCCATATTTTATTAAATAACCTTAATACTAAATTACATGATTCTATTGGTAACTGTCGGAACATGGCATAACACAATTGATCATGTCCAGGAGCTGTATATCCAGTGCCCGATAAAGCCATGTTAATTTCAGACATTAAGAAATCCACATCTAGCGTTGACATACCATCTTCCCTCTTAAGCTTCAAATCCTCATTCACTCTAAGTGCAAGGTCTTTCTGCTGTTTATGAATGTCTGTAAGGTGATCACCACTGTGCACTGCCACAAATGCCCTACCCAACACCTCAGCCTTTTCTTTATCAGACACCACCACCTTTTCACCATCAATCAAAGCTGCAACTTTTACATCTTTCCTTTTCCCACTCATTCTTTTAAACATTGACCATATATCCCCTAACTCTATCCCTCTACCTATGTTGGAACAGAACTCTCTCCAGTTGCTCTTTTTAGTATATTTAATTGTCCTACGTGCCACTGCCCTTTTCTTTTGATATTCCATAATATTCTCTTGTGACAGATTCTTCTTCAATGCTCTAAATGCCCTGTTTCGATCTTTAACAGCTCTACTACATTCCTCATTCCACCAGGGAACTACTTTCTTCCTACCCTTTGTTGTTCTTTTTGGAATACTCATAATTGCTGCATTTAAAATATGATCAGTAAGTTGCTTTGTGCATTCCTCTATATCTCCTTCTAATGTAACCAGGTTTACTGACTTCTTACAACATGTCCTAAACATTTCCCAATCTGCTTTTTCAAAACACCATCTATTAATTGTACTTCCTTCTTGAATACTAATATTTGTGTAAACTATAGTGAGAACTGGATAATGGTCACTTCCTATAGTAGAATCACTCTTGACATACCAGTCACATCTATTTACCAAATTATCTGAAACCAACGTAAGATCCAAACATGATATCTTACCTCTATTCACATCTATTCTTGTGCCCTGTCCATTATTAATGCAGACCAATGATCTATCTTCCATCAATTCTTCGACTATGTTTCCATTACTGTCTGTGTAATTGCTACCCCATAAGCTGTTATGAGCATTAAAATCCCCACACCATATTTCTTTCTGTATGCAATCCCTTCCGATTTCATTTAATTTGTTAATATCTAAATTTTTGCATGGGTTATAGAAATTAATCAACTTAATATTTCCCTCTTCCTTTGTGCTACAGATCTCAACTATTACACACTCTATATCTTCGGGGCTGGGGACTTCCCTATACGCTAACCCATCTTTGATAAAAGTAATACACCCTCCACCAATTTTATTGTTAGTTCTATCATATCTTACAGAATTGAACCCTGGGATCACAAAATCTAGATGAGCTTGTAACCAAGTTTCTTGTATACATACTACATCCGGAACAACATCTAATTCATGAATGTACTTTTTCAATTCTTGACCATTAGATATAAGGCTTCTGGCATTCCATTGTAATATGTGTAGTACCATACACAGGGTCCTAAACCTCAGCTTGTGTAGTATCTCCATTTTCGGTTACTGTCAACAATGCGTGTATCTGATCTGCTTTGATGTCTCTCATGTCAAGAAATTTTTCTGCTGCCTCAACAATAGCCTTAATTCTGTCACTTTTCTTTTTCAACTGTGATGCAACATTGATTGTGTAGCAAATAAAACCCACAAAGTTTACTTTCTTCAGTATCAAGGTATCATCATCAATTTTACATTTGTGATCACAACCCTTCTGCATTTGTCCTGTAATCTGAATTTGTGTCTTATTAATTGGTGTTGTGTTTCTTTGAACCATTTTACTGTCATTTCTGTGATTGGTTTCTCTTACTTTCTTTAGAGCTTCTGCATATGATACCTTATTCAGAAACCTAACTTTCTGGGCTTCTCTGGCTTCTCTTTGTACTTCACATCCTCCAAAGGCTGCACTATGCTCTCCTCCACAGTTACAGCATTTAATCTTTGCATCTTTTTCACATTTACCATACTCGTGCTGACCTCCACATCTAGCACACCTTAGCTTTCCTTTGCACTGCTGTGCTGTGTGCCCCATTCTCTGGCATTTGTAACATCTGAGAGGTTTAGGAATATACTCTCTCACACTGTAATTCATATATCCCATTTGCACTGCCTTCGGGAGGGTTCTCTCGAATTGAACTACCACAGATAATGTTTCTTTTAATGTTCCATCTCGTTTAGTTTTTAGCCGTGTAGCCTCAACTATTTTGCCTCCCTGTATCTCTTTTTTGACGTCGTCCATTGACATACTCAATGGGACTCCTGAGATAACTCCTCTCACCTTTGCCATTGCTCCAGGGATGTGAGCCTTCATCCTTTCCCCTTGTAGTGAGGACATACTAAGAATTTTTTCTTGTTGTTGTTTATTTGTTGCATGAATCAGTATTCTTTTATTATTCATAAACCTTGCAAATTTAATTTTACCAATCTCCTTCTCGATCGCCTTGGTAAGTTTGATTGGGTGATAGTGTCCACCATCCTGATTAAATTCAATTATAACTTTCCATTCGTTTTCTTGTGCTGACTCTACATTCCCCATTTTTTGTTTCTCATACTGGTTAGCTCTCAGTTTCTTGCTCATGCTTCCCTCACCAGCCTCGCTATGTTCCGACCAACTTTTCCTTCTATTTCTTTCTCTCATAGCCCTTTTCATTTTTGCAGATCTGGATATCATCCAATCCATTTCATCCTCATCTGATTCTGAACTATTTGACATGACGTTACATTCACAGTACAGTTTATGCAGATCCGCCAAAACCAAAAAAAAACAATCAAAATTCCCACGCTCACGCTCCTCTCTCTGTCAGCCGTCCCGCCGCACTTCCTTCCGTTCCGGCTGTTCCACCCCTGAACGCATTATTTACATTGACATTTAATATAATAGTTCCTGATTGCGTGTGAACGTCTCCCACGCTTACGTTACGCCTCACACAATCTCTTTTAGTTATTTCAGACTGCCACCTATCGTTAGATGACCGTAACTGACACAAAAGGATCCGTGCTGTGGAACAGTGACAATATTAGCTATGAGAGGGAAAAGTAAGTAATTTAGGTTAATTGTTCATGTGCTTTGTACGTTTACCTTCATGTTTTTCTATTCAGTTTTTTTTTAAGAAAAAATATAATTTTTTTTTATAAAAATGTAAAATAGAAGGCAATGTTTTGGTCTTCTGATGACGATTCCATGTATGTGATGAGAATTCAGTAGGGGGCGCTCTTCGTTTTTTTTTTTGTTTTTTTTTTTAGCTGTTAGACGGTTTAAAAAAATCACCTTTTAATAATCTTCATTTTATTCTATAGTAGCCTATACAATAAAGTAGAAAAGAGTAGAATGTTGACATATTTTAAAAGTGAAAGGTGATCATGACCTGTCAAAAAAAAACCATAAACCTAAATAAATCGTACATTTACAATTCTAGAATTATGAGATCTTATAGCTTTGTATCAGCAGGAGCAGAAATTGAACTTGTCGCTGATCATTCCTCAGCTGCACTTCTAAAATCTCATGTGTCGTAAATCATATAACCCATTCAAATTTAGCAAATTATTGAGAGTCTTTCAGTAAATCTAAACCTTAAAACCTAAATTTCTGATTGTTACTTACCTATCGTATCAACCACAACAGCTGAGGTTATGAATGCAACCTCAAATATAGAAGAATACAATACATTGTATAAAGCAGGACTGATCTCACTAAAAAGCACATTAGTCAAGTATTAACTCTATTGATATTGACTGAAGATAGTGAGCTTTTTCATGTTGTTATGTTGTTGTTTTGTCTATTCAGTAAAGGTCAATTACAGTAGGTCCAGTATTGCTGCTGCATAGTGCGTATGAGGATAGGTTGGGTATCAGAGCATGTTTCTGTCTATAAACAGAATATTGAATACAATATTGCAGGTCTTTTGCAGTCCCCCTTGGATTGTGTTCTCTCTTGTTTGGCTTAATGTCTTCTCTGATTGGATTATCTTTGTTTTCTGTGGATTCATCAAAAATGTGAAATTAAAGGAGCTGTATGCAAGAAATTTCAATTAATCATAAATTTTACCTGATATGTTACTAGACATTAAGAAAACATGTTCATTTCAAATACTTATATCACTGACAAAAGTAGTCCGGCCAGGATATTGCCATTTAAAAAGTGAATTCGCATCCCTTGACTGATGTTGATATTGTCAAGTTGTTTTTTGTTCTGATGCTCCACCCTCCACCGATCTACCAATCACGGACTCAGTAGTGTTGCGGCATTCGGGTTGCCAGCTCTTCTCTAGTTACCACAGTTGTAGATACAAACGCCGGAATCGTATAAAAAAATTAATGTTACGAAACCCCCAAAAAACTCGATATGAATCCAAAATACTTTGTCAAAGTCCGAAATAAATAATTAACGGAATATCATATAACTGAAGATCGTATAACACCCGCGCACAGAGTCCCGCGTTCTCAGACTGCTCGTTTTTCGAAACAGCGCACCCTTATCCAAATGCAATTGAAAACAATAGGATGCAATATTACTGTTACTGATGGAAGGGATACAATTCACCTTAGGCTAAGCCACGCCCTAGAATGTAGATTGACCAATCACAGCGCAGCCAAGAACGAGCTCCCACAGAGGTCGGACACTTTTTCACAGCGCTTCATTGACTTTCAACACAGGCGTCTCATATTTTTGGTCTTGGCAGGCTATTACCGTCGAAGTTTTATACAAAATATGGTTAAACGTTGTGCCTCGGGCATTTGTAACACAGATACGCGTTTCCCAGAGAGGTTGGAGGGGAGTGTCCGTTTTTTCCCTTCCCAAAACCGAAGTAAAATCCTGACAAGTGTTGTCTTTGGAAACTGTGTGGATGTCCTCAGTCAGCTAAACCCCGCAAAGATCAACAAGCACATCTTTTTTTTTTTACTTCTAACCTTACTGTGAGTGTGAAGTTATACTAGTTAGACCGTTTTATAATGTTTTAGGTTATGATTTCGGTTCTCATACCGGTTGTTGACACGCTAGCACACGCTGCTAATAAATACAACGTTATACTCGTGTAGTCCGTTTGCTTTGTAATAACGATTATAGAAGTGAATAGAGACCTACCCAGCTTTGCATGAACAGTGTTGCTCCCTGATATTGTTAGTCCCAGCCTCCGTCTCGATTAGTAGGAAATGCGGTGGTTCATTTTTTGACTGTGACCGGTAACGTTATGCTTTTGCCTCTATTTTGGATGCCTTGTTGTTTCTTGCATTTCACCTGTATGTCTTGAATATAGCCTTCGAACGCATATCAGCCCCCTTTGCCTACTTCTATCGGACACTTTATTTGCTGCTTTTAGTGCTTTATAAAAGTTTGATAACATTTCAGCAGGAAGAGCTGTTACAGCATAAGCCATGCAGAGCACAGATGAAGTTTGACAGATGTAGCAACAGTAACTAAGGGGGGAGGGGCGTAGCCAAAGGTGAATTATAGATTGAACTATCTTCTGAAAAATAGTATGTGATAGCCTATTATATAGCTACAATGTTTTTTTTTTTTTATTCAAATTCCAATTTTCTTTCAGTTCAACCTATAATTGTCTAATTAACATTATGAGCTAACATTACAAAACCTGAATACACAAAACACCAATAATAAACAATTCTGTACTTTATTTGAAGGTGCTCTATGGATATTTTTAGCGGGCTCTAGTGGTGATGTTTCAGAATGCAACAAGAGTGCTCGTGCTCGTGGTGCATGCTCAATCTCATGAGCAAGCATTCACTACCGGCCACACGGAGACTTTCAACGTTTTTATCAGCTTGACGTTGAACTAATGCTATGTGCTCGTACCATGATCATAATGTTACAATAAACTGCATTTAGCCGACATGTGATGTTATATGGCATACGCAATTTCACTAACTATTCGTGTATCTTTCACAATCAGCAATGTCAACATAGGTGAATGTGTGTATGTGAATGTAGGTGAATATGATAACGAAAACAGTTACTGAACTAAACTGAACAATTTCAGTGTAACAGTAAGATCGTAGGAAGTAACATTACTCTACTAAACGTGTCTGGAAATGTGTATAAACAATATGGCAGTAGTGGGATGAGTGACGTTAGTCAGTAGATCTAGTAAATAAAATAAGTTACATCCTAAAGCACCTACTTTTTGTTATCCTGGAACATTCTTTTGTATTAGTTTAATGTTTCATGTAGTTTACCTATTTCACTAGAGTTTACTAATATGTTGTACTATAAGTTGCGATGTTGATGCGTGTTTTCGTCCATCGATCAGATTTACGTTTTGCCTGACGAGCTTCAGCAGATAAAACTTTTTTTGTTTTTTATATTTTTATGGACTTTGTGTTGGAGTCTGTGTTGTGCTGGAGGCAGGACGTTTTGGGGTGTTATCAGACTCAATGTCGTCAGCTGAAGTGCCGTTGGTCGCATAGACTGTAGGATAGAGCTGGTAAGTTTTTAGCACTTCCGTCCCTGACACGCAGACTCAAACAGAGCTTGACGACGTAGATGTGACGTGAGCAACCCATCTGTCTTCTAGTGGCTGTGGCATGAGAAATCTGAATCATTACCTTCCGAAACATGCAGAGGCGGAGAGTGTGAGTAGGAGCTGTCCATGAGCTATAGGAGCAGGAGAAACTTTTACTAGGTATTCTGATTAATTATTTTGTCATTTTGCCTCCACGTTTCCTGATTGCCTGCGAGCATGTCCTCCTGTCCATACGGTAATATCTCTACTGTGCGACACAGAGTCGCGTGGGTATGACACAATCGTTAGCCTAGTTTTACAAAAAACTGCTTCTACGGTGCCATAACATAAGCTACAATAATGGAGCATTTTATACATTGTCGTGTTTCTTTAGAAATGAATAAAGGACAAATGGGGTCTTCAAACGCCTCCGATGTAAAGTTATTCGCTGTCAAAGTGACACCAAAATTAATGGAAATCAATGGAAATAAAGTTCTGCTACAAGATGGTAGCAGATGGTTTTGTTTGAATGGTGACATTTGGGTACAAAACACACAGGCATCTCGAACTAATTCCTTAGATTATCGCACCATGATTTGTGGAGGGAAAATGTGTTATGCGGTGACGTCACATATGTGATGTGTAGTCTTTCTCGTTATGTCTATTCCACAACTGCTAGCTAAAGAATCATACAATATACTGTCAAACTCGTTACATGAGAAATTATATAAAAAATTCGCAGACAACATATGCTCACATTCATGGCACAATTCAAACGGGATCAGAAAATAATTATTTTCTCTCATTCCCTCGCATTGACGCTTTTTCAACCTAGAGGTCCACTTGGAGTTTTACGGATGGGCGGGACTTACCAGCTCTATAGAGAGGCTCGGGAACGCGCATGCACGTCATATCCGATGGATTTCACAGGAAATCTGACCCGGAGACCTCACATATAAATATGAATATTGGCCTTCAGAGGTAATAGCAAAACCCGAAAAGTGGATCATTGCAATGTGTGATTACAACCCCTTCACACACAGGCAATAAAAAAAGGATTCATTTTATAAAAAAAAGTTATATAGGACCTTTAGCGATCACCTCAACAACATCTTGCTGTAAATAAAAAAGGAAGAAAGAATTGGGTTTGTGACTTTACTTTTCGTCTTCAAATGCATTAAAAAAACGCCTCATAAGTTTCTTTGGATAATTTTAAAATTATATATTGCTGGGTTCGGCAGGGGCGACTCCATCAATTTATGGTGTAGCCTACCTGTTACATGTGTGTTCTGTGTTTCCCCCATTGTTTGTGTATTTGGTTCAGTCCTGTTTCCAGTTTTCCCGCTCCGCTAAAGTTTAGTTACTTTGCCCCAGCTGTGCCTTGTTCCCCTAGTCTGTTCTCTGTGTATTTAAACCCTGTGTTCTCCCTCACTCCTGGTTGGTTCTTGTTTATGTACACTGTGGTTTCTGTTACTCCTGTGCTTTTG